TACTAACCTAATGTAACGTACAGGAGGCTGTACTAACCTAATGTAACCTACAGGAGGCTGTACTAACCTAATGTAACGTACAGGATACTGTACGTGGAAACAAAGCTGCTGACGTTGAATTCCTTGCAGCTGTAGTGCGCCCCCACCGACCAGACGTCATACTGAACGGCACTCTGCTGTAGCTGCAGTGATAGCCATAATACACACATAACAATCATGGCGGAGAATGAAACCCTGGAGTGTATAACGGAGCACGAGCGGATTTTACAGGAAATTGAGAGCACCGACACGGCTTGTGTTGGTCCCACTCTCCGGTAAGAATATACTGCTTCTTAAGAAGTCCTCACCAATCATAATGTCCGTGTGTGTTATTGCATCTGCTAGGCTGTAAGACCTTTTGTTCATGAGCTAGCTTGGCTGTCTTAGCCACCGGCAGGCTAACATGAGCTATTCTAGCTAACAGAGCTATATGGTGTTGAAATGAAGCGTGAGCCTAGCTGGCTTGTTAAGCTAACAGGCCAACAGTGACCATTGGTTCATTCAGTTGAACGCAGCTGTAGCACAACCGCGTAGTGTGCGCGTGTATATGTGCGCGTGTATATGTGCGCGTGTGTGTTCCAGGTTCTGTGCCTTGATGAACGGCTGGTGACCTGTCAATATGTAAACATCAGTTGTGGGTGTGGCTGTGGTACACCACATCTTGTTATCATTATGTTGCTGATGTTGGCTAACAGTGCTAACAATTTGGGCTAGTTATTTAGCAATTAACGTGAGTTGTTAAGAAATTAGAAAAGGTATGCTACTGGCATTCCAATATAACGGTACGATGGTTGGATGAGTCATCTAGAAAACCCGGTGTTGTGACGTGGTTGATAATGTGTGATATAGATGATGTAGATCCGTTCTACAGCACACTGCATTGATGTTGTTAGTTAGCTACCAAGCTAGCTTCAAAGGCCCTAATGACAGACATTAGTTTGACAAGCTAGTGTTCAGCTGAATGCCTCTCTCACACACACACTTGTCTCGTAGACATGCTCGGAGGCCGTGGTTGTCTTTCAGCATACCTGAGTAAAGCAGTGAAAAGATGCCCTCAAGGTAACATTACATCCACGCCTCGGTTAGTTTCAGTTTTAGTGTACGATCTTATTAACGCTGTCATTCTTTTATTAGATGACCTAGACGACCTACATTAGTTGTTGAAAATGACACTTATCTAAGTCGATGCACTAATATCATGCTGCTTTCCTGATTGAGTTTCTCTCTCACACTATCCCTAAATAGAAACCTCAGTGTTGAAGTCACATTTGATCCGCTCAGAATATTAGTAACAGGTTGAGGAGGAAAGGTCAGGTACTCTAAATCACTACAGTCAGAAATGGAGACATTATCTCTACTTTGTATGCATTTGTAAATGTAATTATTTGTACCATGTGGCAAGTACAGGAATGGTCTGCCTGCAGTTTCAAGGATCAAACTTGGGCAAAACAAGAAGGCTCCTGGCCACCATAAAGCCAACGTTTCCCAATGGTCTATGACGTCTGCATACATTTGAATGCTTTAGTATTCATTTCCCTTCTCTCCTCAGTGCAGGTGACTGTGTTTGCTTATACTGTGTGGGCTGCCCGGCAGTTAGCTCCTTCTGGGTGTGGACTAATCCATAATTACAATAGTTAGTTTTACCTGATACATATGTCTCTAGGGCTGGATGGTATGACTGACTTCACATGAGGACAGCGATGATTGTTACCACTTATCATTGATGTTCTAACTTCCAAAAGCTGTGCCATATTAGTGACACACCTGGGGCCTGTATCACAAAGCAAGTTCCACTTCCTCTGGCTTTATTTGAGATATTTGGCCTCTATAAACTTTAAACCATGTACGCGTGAATGGATAAATATGAGGCAAATTGTTAAGGGCTTTCTGCATAAAAGCAATATTAACCATCTTATTTAGCCAGTATTGCAAAAGTAGACATGCTTGTACCCATAGTTAATATATAAAGACGCCATTTACACACATTGTACAAAAATGAAGCCAAAATGGTACGGTCGCTGCTTTGTTGGAGCCAGAATCTGCGCAGTAGTCGGTTGGTGCGGCCGCCGTGTCCCGTTCATTTTTAAATTTTATATTATGATCGCGGAGATGCTTTACTGCCGGCGCCACTGGGGCATGGGGTATAACTCAGGCTGGGAGAGGACCATTTTTGTGAACACTGACAGAACACCCCAGGGTCTTTATTGTAGCACCCCATCCAGGTCCAGCAGTAACCCATTAGTCTGCTGTTCAGAATAATAGCATGGGAATAAATTACAATACAATAAGAGTCTGACTAAATCAGCTGTTCCTCCATGGCTTATTTTGACTTGCAGTTGTGACAAATTGTGAACTTTATGTGTTCATTTACCGAAGCATGCAGGTGTGTGTGACACTACTGTCTGTGCCGCTGAGGTACAGTGCAATCTGTGTGTGTAACTGTTACCGGCAAACTATCAGAAATATGAAGCTGATCGGCTGAAACCCTGCCCGTATTGATCGATCGGTGCATCTCTAGTCTCTAACGGTAAGCAAGGTATTGTCAAATTACCGTTCACTCCTACTGTCAATCATGTAGTCACTCCCTTTTTTAATGCATCAAATAACTTATTAAAACCAAGAAAATGAACACTTGAACATGAGAAGCACCGCCTAAAATGACAGAAAGCATCTTTGGGAAAAGGTTTTTTGATGTGTACTTAGATTCTAGTTTGATCCATCGTCCCATCCTTGAACGTGGAGGGGGCGGGGTTTATGAACTGTACTGCAGCCAGTCACAAGGGGATGATGGAGATGTTTTAGCTTCACTTTGGGTGAACTGTTATGTCATCCATCTTTATATACAGTCTAGGCTTGTACAGAAGGGCAGTGCCGTAAGCCAGACAATGACGTAATCACGACCGGCACGTGACGCAAGTGGTCACGGTGCTGGTCGTGCACCTC